ACTGGCCTTGTGCTGGCCCATGTGTGGACCACCTCTGGCAGGGCTGGACTGGGACAAAAAAAAGTCAGCCTGGGCATTTTGACTTGTGACCGGCCCACCACAGTATTATAGGAAAAGCCATAAAGCCGTTATAATAAATTTATACCTACCCCATCATCCCTATTCTGGTATTCTAAACAGTACTTAACAAAAATATAAAACAACCTAATTTATAATTACATATACCTAACTAATAGGGTTGCCAACTCCCAGCAAAAAAAAAAAAAAAATAGGGAACTACTCCCCCACCCTCTGCCTCAAGACGCTTAATTGACAAAACCGATTTTAATTTAATGAACGTATTAAAAAATGCACAGAAATCTATTAAATTAAATAGATTCAACATCTTTCTTCAACAGAACTGCAGACTGCACAGATGGTACCGTCCCAAAGGGAAGAATACTATAACTTACTAGGGTATATACTTGACTTAATATTTACTGAATACAATAATGGATTTCTATGCTTTTTACTTCAGATGAAAACTTTGGTTTGTAAGATTCAGATAATTATTTATTAAGCTAGACATTTCAAATAAGAATAACAAAGAAAAGTATTTCTTTGTGCCCCTTGCCCTACCCTGGCAAAACTTTGCTAGACCCGCCCCTGCACAGTTAAGGATCCTCGTGTTATTTGTCTCAGAACCTTCCAGATCCCTCAGGTCATCTGGATCCGGTCTTTTATCAGTTCCCAGAGTCAGAACCAGACACGGAGAAGCTGCATTCAGCTTTTATGCTCCTTATATCTGGAACAAACTCCCAGAAAGCCTCAGATCAGCTGAAACACTCAGTTTATTTAAATCCAGGTTGAAGACTCACCTGTTCTCAGCTGCATTTGAATAAAACACCAAATCCACACTTTTAAGCTTAAATTTCAAAACTTACATTAACCACTGATTTTATCTACTGTTCTGATTTTATCTGTTTTGATTATATATACTGTTTTGTTTGTTTGTTTGTTTGTTAAGTGGGATTAGAGCACTGGGTAGCTCCCCAGCTGGGTCTAGACTGGGTCTAGAGAGTATTTTAAATTCAGGGAATTTAAAATAGAAAGTAGCTCGTCCACAGAAGGACTGGTAGCTCCCCTTACGATAAGGGTTCAGATCGCGCGAACAGGTGTGAAATGTGTGTGTTTAGTTAGTTTGTTTGCTTGTTTTAATCAATTTTAAATCATGCTTTTTATTTGTTTTTGTTTCTAATGTCTCTGTAAAGCACTTTGAATCACCTTGTTGTTGAATTGTTCTATACAAATAAATTTGCCTTGCCATGCCTCAGAAACAGTTCACAACTTCCCTTCAACTTATTCATTAGGGCAGGGATAGCTCAGTAGGTAGAGTGGTTGCCCATGATCGGAAGGTCAGGGGTTCGACTCCACTGAACGGCTACCCTGAGGTAATGCCCGTTAAGCCTGATGGCCGGGTTCAAACCCAGCTTTTGGCCCGCCTTCCTGTATGGAAATTCAAGCGTACCAGGACTCACAGGTGATTGGCTGGTCAGGGATCTATGCCCGCCCAGCTGCATGCAGGTCCCTCTTGCCTTTGTTCCGCTGCATTTTGAGCCTCTGTTTTGGAGTTGCTGCCTTTGAGATGATTAGTGTTTTTGTGTTATTTGAATATATGAGAGTTGTGTTTTTTGTTGTTGTTGTTTAAATTGCCTCATTGCCTAGTGAGTCGTTTCACTAACGGTTTTCAGTTGTGGTAATGAACCTTGTGTTTTTTAATCTGACCCTCCTGTCTCTGGGCTCATTTATGTTACCTCCCCTGTCACCTAGCAGAGCCGGGGCATGACAACTGGTTGCCTGCAAGTTTTAGGTTTCGAAAAAAAAATTTCTCTTCCATGTTTGTCCAAGTGACTATTTCAGAGCAAGACATACAACAGTGGATGGAAGGAGAGACAGAAACTGCCAGCCATGCAGCTTTGAAAACGAGACCAAAAGGTTTGTTGATTTGGCCTGATTTGTTTCTTATTGGGTATTCTGTCACTGCTGCTGTTTTTGTTTTGTCAGGTTTGTTTCATGAATATTTCTCAGACAGAAGAAGGTGATATTCCAACAGAGCTGAAAAGCAGAGCCGTGGATTCCTTACATTTGAAGAACAGAGCAGCTGAAGAAAAGCTATGACTCCAACGTGAGATGGACGCTGTGATTCATCACCAGCAACACACTGACCTGCATTCATCAATAGATGACACTCAGGTTACTTCATGATTTTGAAGAGACTGCTACGGTGGCCTCCCATGACCCCCAGCTGCATCTACACTGAGAAGCAGACATTTGAAAACATTCAGCAGACAACTGAATAACAGTCCAACACAACAGTCTGTGTGCAGACACACACTGACCTTTCATATAGTCAAAGGATTCAATCAAACACAGCTGGTTGACTCATTTCTCTATGAGTCTAAAGTGAATCTAGTATGTCTAGCTGTCATGTTGATGCTGTCCTCCAAGGAATTTGTCCTGTAGTGACCTCTGACCTTTAGTGAACTTTACAGAGGCCTTTTTGTTTTTAATAAAGGCTGTGTTTAAGAATTATACCACAGAGTCAAATACTTCTGATTTGGCTGTGGTTGGACATCATTACAGGTTAAGACATGTTGGAGAATCCTCCTGTCCGAAATAAATGTCAGCTAAAACGCAAAGAACAAGTTGAGCTTTATTAAGACTCGAGGGGAGTAACAATAACTGTCCAGAAAATAGAAAAAAAAAAGAAAAATTTGCATGTTCTCAGCATTTAAAATAGTAGTTAAAGTGTATTTTGAGTAAATATGACATTTAATTTTTTTTAACTGAACTTCAATAAATTCCTGTGTCACAGTAGAGCAATATCTTTATGTTCATGCTAATAGTCAATTTTGTGAAAGCATCGGATTATTGGCTATAAATAGTTAACTCAGTATAATATGCTTTATATAGTATCCCTGGACTCAACCACACAAAAATGAAAGACACTGGGGAAAAATAAGTATTCACAGACTTTTAGTCGTTTGTAATCTACACATTTTCCTAAAACTGCTTTAAAAGTACAAGCATGCATTACACACAGTGAGAAAATAAAACTTTTTTGTTTCCAAACTTATTTCCAACAAACTTTATTTGTAATCAAGAGATTAAAAAGGAACACATTCAGGTTACTTTATTTGAAGCTGTCAGTATAAAGCCAGTCTGCATTAAGTTAGCAATTCTAACTGCACAAATAAGCACAACAGACAAGCACAATACAACATAATGAAGGAAACGTCAGCTTGTTAGCCCATTTAACAATTAGAGTGAGCGATTTTCTGTCTTTTTTACAGATAAATATCCAAACCATGACACCAATGAAAATGAGAAAACAGACTCCAGAAAATTTACCTCAAACATAACAAATGCTCTTGCCCCTTTATTTTTTAACCCGGTCACAGTCTGTCTCCCAGTTCAGTTTTCAGTCAATCATTGTTCCAACATATATTAGATTATAATACTCAACACATTCCACTGTCTGACCCCTAATGAATGTGACCTTTTGGACATTAAAAATCGAGGCCCTCTTGCTGCTTATATTAAATCCTCCATTAGGAACCTTGGTGTTACCTTTGACCCAGCTCTGGACACACGTTAAATCTTTGGTTCGCTCTTGTTTTTACCATTGAAGAAATATCACTGAGTCCCATTGTGTCACGCTCTGAACTGGAAATGATTCTTCATGCTTTTGTTTCATCTCGTTTAGACTATTGTAATTCCTTGTTTACTTGCTTAAGTAGCGCCTCCCTGGAACGACTGCAGGGCGTTCAGACTGCTGCTGCCAGGCTTCTGATAAAGCATCACAAACACTCCCATGCCACGCCCCTGCTGATTCAGCTGCACTGGCTCCCTGTCAAGTTCAGGGTCCAATTTAAGATCATAATCATGACTTATAGCACCCTGCACGGTGTAGCTCCAACTTACTTAGGTGATCTACTTCTTTCTTATCACCCCAGCAGGTCCCTGAGGTCTTGTGTCCAGGGGTTGCTGGTTGTCCCGCTTACAAGGTTAAAAACAGAAGGTGACAGAGCGTTTGTATCAGCGGCTCCCAGACTCTGGAGCTCGCTCCCTTTGAGTTTGAGATCTGTGGACTCAGTCGTGTCTTTTAAAAAGCAGTTAAAAACGTATCTGTTTAAACTGCTTTTGGTTGATTTTGTTTGTTTGAGATTTTTCTGCCTCTGTAAAGCACTTTGTGATTTTATCTTGAAAGGTGCTATATAAATAACATTTTACTTTACTTACTTACATGAGTATGTTTTCTAAATTCAGTGATGACGTCTTTTGAGACAGGACTCATCAGAACATTTAGCATAATGGTCAAAGTCTGGGTTGTAGCTGCTCTCATCATCATCAGTAAACTGATATGTTTAATTGATAACTGATTAAATCTGCAAGTGAAACATTTCCATATGCAATTTTTACAGAAAACTGTATTTTCTGTAAAACCATGAGAATGTCTCGTGATTTGAGTTAAATTCTACATATCTGTCTGATGGGTTTTCATCTTGTTCCATAAGGTTTGCCCAACTTTTTTCATAACTGCAGGTATGTACTGCAGAGCTCCTCTGGTACCTTCATCCACTCTGCTTCTCATCTCCTCCAGTTTCTGGACCTTCTCTGAGTCTTCTTTCTCTTTCATCTTCTCACTTAATATATCTAAGTGTACAATAGTGGACAGAGAAAAAACATTCAGTGCAATCTCCTCCAGTCTGAGAAGATGTTGATAGGACTCATCCAGTAACTGAGACTTCTCTGCTGTCAGCTGGTTCATTTCCTTTTCTAGATTTTCCAAAAGGCTGGACTTGTCCTCACTTTCTGTCTTGTTCTTGTCATATTTCTTTTTCATTTCTTCATCAGTCTTTTTGACACGACGTGTCTTGGTTACATAGATCTTCCTTTCTTTTACATGTTTTGATGCAAGACATTTCCTGCTACAAACAGTGCAGTGTCCTTCCTTCATGACCTCACAGTGTTCGGGATACCAGGCTATTGTGCATCCAGGATAGTGACAGTTCTCCTCACAGACTTTACAGCTGACAGCTCCTGCATACCCAGCCAACAAGCACCACCACCCAACCTCGATATCTTCTCTAACTTTGTAGACCTCATCAATTTCTATAGTGAACTGCTTATTTGTCTTCATCTTTTCTTCGTGTTTCTTCAGAGCCTCTTGAGTCTGTTTTATTTCTGTCTGTTTTAATTCAATAAAATCTATTCTTTCTTACAGGTTTTGAATGCAGGCTGTCAATCTGATGCGTTCATTTAACACTTCAACAGTTGTCATCAGTTTCTGAGGTTCAATATTTTCCAGGAATTCTGAGAATTCACTCATTCCTCCCTCTGATACTCTCCATGCGTTATGCAAACCCACCTTGTCTTTCTTTTTTCTCTCTTTTTCCTGTTGGTTATTGAACAGGAAGCAAACTGGCTCATCCTCTATTCTGGCACATTTTATTTTTGCAGCTTCAAGAGCTTCAAGAGCATTTTCAGGTGTTACACCATCTGAGTGTGTGATCAGGGCCACAATGTTTTTCTCCAGGTTTTTTCCAAACAGAGAAATGACTGAATCAAAGACGTACCTCAATCGATCACTCAGTCGATTTTCACTCGCCTTCATCACCAGACCCACTGCATGAACTTCATGGACTCCGTCATCTGATCGAAACAAGTCCAATAATCTTTTACTAACAATGACATCATCCTCAGTCCCTCTGGTGTCTCCATATCCAGGCGTGTCGATGATGGTCAGAGAGTAGGGCAGAGTTTCATCTTCAAAACCAAAGATCTCGTACACGATCACATCTGATGTCTGACTTTCTGACTGACTTTCCTCCTCCTCCTCTATGATCTGAAACCAGACTTCATCCTCCCACTTCACTCCCATTGTGTAGTTGACCAAAGCATTGATCAGAGTAGATTTTCCTGCTCCTGTTTCACCCACAAGTAAGATGGTTTTATTTGTCTTTTTTTGATTTTTTTCACCAACAGTCATTTTTGTCAGAGTTCCAAACATTTTTTTCTTTGGGTTTAGCTGGTAAACAGGAGGAGGTCCTGAACTGATAAGAACACTTTTGAGGATGGTGTTCTTGTATTTTGAAGACATATCCCTGGTCCTGAGAAGCAAAAATAAAAATTTGTTAAGTTTCGGTTTTTTGCCACACATTTAAGATGAGTATGCATGTTTCAACATACAGACACATAAATCATAAATGCCAACCCAGTTTTGCAATCTGTTAACCCTTTAAACCCGGTCAGAGCGGGCACGCTCCGTTTTGCGTAACTATTTCTAAATCCCGGTAGCACTGCTACCACGTAAACAATCATTTTTTTGCATATGAAACTGGAGGAGTTGTACTTACATGTTAGCTTGTACCAGGTCACAGTCTCCTTCCACATAAAGCTTTGCAAAAATTGCATAAAAAGCGCTTGCAGCAGCAAAAACATAATATTCCAGAAACACGCTTTGCCGATCCGATCAGCTGTTTGTAACACTTCCTACATCCATCAGTGCGAACTATCGCATGTCCGCCGTGACCTGCCCGAAACCGGAAGTGACGTCATTTCGTGGAAAATTTCGCTTTTTGCCTTCAGGGCCTTATGAGCCTACACTGGTGTTTTTAAAAGTCAAGTTTGACTTCATGCTTTTCTGTGTCGTTTCTGGGATGCTTAGGACTCATATTGCACTGCTGGAAATAGTTTATTTTGATGCACATGCTGGGTTGGTTTTTTTTGCAAATTTGCATCACACTGATCCATACTGCTCAATTCACATCAGCTCACACACACCTTCTACCTTAACCTGCAGAGAAAACACAAATCATTCATGTGCACATCAAAATCCTACTTTCCATCATATGTGCTGTCCAAATATCAGCAAATAGCAGAGTTAAAGATGCTAAGATTTTCGCTGTGAGTGACCAAGAGAGACAATTAGAATTGAGTATATCAGACGGACAGCTAAGGTCAAACACTTTGGACAGAGAGAGAGAGAGACATCTGGGCTTTGACTTAAATCATGACTGTTTATTAACAGAAATCAATAACTGTTATTTGGCATTATTATATATAAATTGTTAGATTATAATATTATTTTATGCCATGTTATGCCCCTAACTAAAGATTGTGAATTATTATGTAGTCTTAGTTTGCATTATTCTCCTGAATTAGAAGAAGCTGATAACTAGTGTGAAGCGCTTTGGGGTCCTTAGGGACTAGAAAAGCGCTATACAAATGCAGGCCATTTACCATAAAGTGGCTCCTCTTAAAACTAGAAAGGCAGCACTATTAAATCCCCACCCTGGATCACAGAAGCTATCTGCAGCTTTACGCGATTTAGCCATAAAACTGAGCGCCTGTGAAAAGCCACAAAACTTGAGGTTCATAAGCTCCACTTATAATGACATAGTGAAAGACACGAGAGCCACTTGTTTCTAGGGGTGGGTTTTGATTATCGATTTATCTATTAAAATCGATTCTAGCTTGGATTCTGCACAAAGACGTAAACACAAAGCGCAGACCTGCGGATCAGAATCAGTGAGATGTCGCCTCTCTCACCCGACAGCACGGACACGGTCGGGGCTGAAAGCCGACAGCTCGCTGACTCTGATCTGTCGGCGGGTCGAGCTTTGTGTTCACACCCTGATTTGTGCTGATTCTAAAGCTGTTGGTTTGATGTCTCTCCAAACAATATTGACCGAACCAGCAGCAAAAGAAGATCCAAACTACGCTTCACATAAACATCGTCATGAATTCACTCTGACTTTTGCTGTTTTGCTTCCACCACAATAAAAAGTGTGCTTCAAGAACAGTTTCCCCGTCTAAAAATCTGTTTTCTGCATTATCCGCTTGCTTGTTACGCACAAGTCTACCGTTGTTTACAGCGCTGTCGGGCCCTGTTTTTTTTTTTTTACTTACTTTCAAAAAGAAAGCCTCATTTCTGCTGTTCAATAGGCTTGTGAACAAATTTAAACTTTTTAAAATTATGCAAATTGGAAAACGCGGTTCGTGGCTCAAAAAAGGATGGGAATACTGACCTAAATGATTAAGTTAATGGGGCAGGGATATACATATTATATTTTTATGGGTTATTGCCCGTAAAATGACAAATTTAACCTTGACCTTATATGTACGACTGGGTATTGTCACTGAGTTCAAGCTTTATTGTCATATACAGATAAACACATTTACCCATAATGAAATTCTTTGGCTCGTGCTCCTCAGCTTTACATGAGCATATAGAAAATGTCCAGTTATACTTAAGAAAATAACAAAAAAATAACAACAATAATAATAATAATAATAATAAAGAAAAACAAACAAAATACTAAACTATTCAACAAATGATTCGAACCTGATTAACCTTTTAAATTAAGAATATTTCATTGCAAATTATTTGACTATTTCTCTGCAATTACAAACTCTGTGTAAACGATCTATGTGTTAAAAACAAAGCTGGCACTTAAGGGACTTCATCAGAGGTGTAAGCATCACAGCAGATACCTTTGTGTCAAAGTGACTGATGGTCAAACGCAGAAAAATATGGAGATTTTCATGGCCTGGTCTTTTATAGCAGATAATCATCTTAAAAATATTCTGCAGTAGATCAAAAACGGAAGCTATCCGGTAGCTACTGAACAGCAGAAATTAGGCTTTCCTGTTGGAAGTCATGTTTGGGAAAAAAAAAAAAAAAAAAAAAAAAAAAAAAAAAAGCAGCCGACAGCGCTGTACACAACAGTAGACTGATGCGTAATAAGCAAGCAAAAAATTGCAGAAAACAGAGATTTGAGATGGGAAAATGGTCTAGAAGTACACTGAGAGAGAGAAAGAGTTGTGCAGGAAGTGTGCAAAGTTAGAGCAATCCATTAACCTGCTTTTTAATTGTTTGCTGTTTGGTGGTAGAACAACATTTATATTTAAAATCGATTTCAAAATGTAATGACTCGATATCACATTCAAATTAAATTTGATTTTAATCAGGAAATCAGTTTTTTTTAAACCCACCCCTAACTGTATGTGATCGCTATCTGAAAACCTAAATTCTGACTATTACTTCAGGAGGAATAGCAATTTTTATGAATTCTGGACACCAGATACCTCACCTTGGCACAAGCTCATAGGTGAGGCTAAAATGCAAATAAATTTACCAAAAAAAATCAATATTGTAAGGATAAGCTCACTCAATTGTACAGTTTTACGATAGTTTTGATGATAATGTGCATGATGATATATTAAAACATGAAGATAACTGTATGTCTTAACTGTACTTATTCTACTTACGTTGCCATGTTGATGACAGAGAGCCACACAGGTGTCAGGAAAATCTTGCTCTGGAGTAAAACAAAAAAAATATTAATCCCATCTATTTCTAAAGAATTACATTTGGTAGATCTTTCTGTTCACACCGATCTGATGATTAGGAGAATAATTACAATCAGGATCTTCATTTTCAATTAGTTAAATGTTCTCTTTCTGTAATCTGTAATTTTATCTTGATCTCCTGATTCCAGCATTTCAAGTGATCTTACCTGTATTGTATCAGGAAGCTCTGTGATGCTAAGGAGGCAGAGAAGGGAGGGTTGCACAGTTTTATACCCTCAGAGGAGGGACGATGAGACCATGCAATCACATGACTTTTTGGAAATCACAGAATTAACAGAAGGGAATTTGAGCAGCAATGTTGCCCCACCCCCCTACTCATAACAAAACTGAAAGTGTTTCCACCTTGCATGTGTGTTTTTGTGTGTGTTGCAAAACAGTCTAAAGTCTGTCACAGCTTTGAAATAGGCTTTGAAATGGGCAGCTTTGACAAAAAATAAAAAAAAAAATAAAAAAAAGAAATGACAAAAACGTTGCTCTGTGGGAGCCCAGGAACAGAACTCACTTCTTACTGGGGTTATCACTCACACACACACACACACACACACCCCCCCCCCCCCCCCGTTTGGGGTCGCATATCTTAACTCCCGCCCTTTGGGGACACCACTTTCTGTATGGTTTAGAAGCAAGCTGGCAACTCAGTTTTACTCCTCCAAGACCACAGAAATAAAAAAATCACTTGAGATTTTCATTTTAAGCAACATTTGTCCAGACAGTATTTTACCTTCCCATTGGGGACTGGGAATGTTTAATGTCCCCTTTGGGGTCTTCAGCGATACACAGATAAACAAACTATTTTATGCCACTTTTGGGGACCTTACTTCCATTTGGGGTCTTCAGCGACACACACATACACAAACTATTTTATGTCAGTTTTGGGGATATTACTTCCCTTAAAGGCAATTCCTTCAAAGTACAATGTAAGGTTAACTACCCAATCTAACAATAATCTAAACAATAATTAAGGTCTCTATTTATCTTGAAGAAATCAAAACTATGTCCAACGTCTCGGCCACAGAACAATTTAAATTTTGACTGCATTTGTTACTACTCTGTTGTTTTGGGAGTTTATATGCACATCATTAATGCAGAGAAACTTGGATAAAAAAAATCATCTGTACTATTGAGTGTTTGTTACCAGCAAATTGTAAGGCAAGAACTTTGCTTCCAAATATGTTCACTGGGAAGAAGTCCCTTGTCCCCTGTCTTCATCTTGATCCTTTTTGTTATTCTATTGTGTTTTTGTTGCCTCCATACCTGACAGAAGAGACTCAATGTCATTGCTTGAGGAATCTGGATTTTACAGATCAATTTTTTTTACGTTTCAGGCATTTCTCATGATGCTGCTTCAGCTTGGTTAGTCTTGAGTAGATAAACACAAGTTAAATAGGCAAACATTGGACAGTTAAACTAGTTTTTATATTCTATTTAAACTAAAAGAAATTTCTGATTTCAACTATGAATTGTTAACACAGATAATTTGTACACAATTACCAAGGGTTCATTTGATTTTCAAAAACTATCCAAACCTATCATAAAAGATTTAATTTAATTATTAATAAACACACTGCTTTAACCTACATTAGAAACAATCAAAATATCCTTTACCTCAGGGCACCAATAAGTACAGTATTAAAGATCTGTGAGTGATAAGACAAGCTGTACGATTTTAGAATGGATATCTTAATTTTAGTTTTCACTGATGTTACGAGTAGATTTAACATGAATAACAAATAGACAAGAGACAATTAAAAACTGCCAAAGAAGATGACTCTTATGACTTCCGGGGACATTTCTAACAAAAATGCACTGCGTTAACCTGAATGAGGACAATCAAAAGGATATACATAAATGAAATTGAATTGATATAGTACCAGAGTACAGTGATCATTAACTGATCGTCATTAACGATCAGTGACCATTAACGGTTTTGTCACTGATCTCAAGGGTAGATTAATACTAAATACAGAAATATACCCATCCATCCATCCATCCATCCATGTTCATCCGCTTTATCCGAGGCCGGGTCGCGGGGCAGCAGCCTAAGCAAAGAGGCCCAGACCTCCCTCTCCCCAGCCACCTCCTCCAGCTTATCTGGGGGAACACCAAGGCGTTCCCAGGCCAGCCGAAAGATACAATCGGCTGGCCTTTCAAATATACCTCCATTTAAAAATTGCAAAAACATATGCAAAAATAGTTATTGGTACACCTGACTCTTATGACTTTTGGGGACGTTTCTAACACAAATACACTCCGCTTTATCCTAAATGGGGACATTCAATGGGAAACTTTCGTTAGGGAACTGGTTAATACAATGAACTCGGATTATTAAACATATGCATATATTAAGGTATGTGTAACTACTTTTCAGATGGATTTCTTTATCTTAGTCCTCATTCTGATTGGTATTTGTTCCGTATTTTTAAATCTTAGACATAGTGAAGGTTTTTTTTTTTTTTTAACATAACCCTTGCTTGAGTGTGGAGATCATTGATAAATTGTTTACAGACTTCATGGATAGATTTATACTGAAAAAGGGACATGATACTATTTTTAGAAAAAAAAATCCCAAAACATATCCAACTATAGTCATTAGTATGCCATATGCTTATGACTTTTGGGGACGTTTTTAACACAAATACACTCCGCTTTAACCTAAATGGGGACATTCAGTGGGAAACTTTCCTTAGGAAACTGGTAAATACAATGAACTCTGATTATTAAACATATGCATATGTTGAGGTATGTGTAATGATTTGGGGGATGGATTTCTTTATCTTAGTCCTCATTCTGATTGGTATTTGTTCCATATTTTCAAATCTTAGACATAATTTTTTTTTTTTATTTAAATATTTATTTTTTCCGTTTCATTAGCCTCTCTTAATTAACAAGATAATCCTCATTGTTAGCTTGCACATGAAAAACTTGAGGATGCTAATAAACATCTATTATTTTAGAATCATAAAAGCATAAAAAAAATGAAATCCCCTAAAATATTGAAAGTTTGGTTCATTCAAACATCCCTTAATATTTAATCCAAGACATCTCTGAATGTGTAACTTATATGTGGCTAGCTTTTTCTGGCTAATTAGCTCAAGTCTTTTTTTTCCAAATCATCAAGGGCACATCTAGCAAACCAGTATTAGCATTTATTACTAAATAACTTTCTTACATTCAAACAGAAAATGCTGAAACTTGTCAGCAGAACCCTTAAGATATAGGTATAAGAAACTAAAAAAAAGTTTTAATCACTTTTCATACCTTTAAAGCTGCTCTACATGCTGCTGCTTGCACACACCTCCATGGCTGCGATCAAGGCCTATGGTGACATAGAGGTCTTACCTCACCTCCCCTACCTTTAGGCTGTCCCTGCTCTGTCCCTCTTCACTCTCACACACACGAACTCCAGACCTGCATTCATCTCTTTCCTCTGATCCCCCCCACCCGACAGACATACAAAACTCTAAACATCGCCCTTTGACTGACTGCCCCACCCCCACTTGCACACGAACTCTTTCCCGAAAGCACTCTGATTGTATGACACTAGTGTTCATTGTATTATGTTGTACATAGGACTTGTTTTGTTTTTATCTTTAAGTTGTTCACTGTAGACCGTGGGAGCATTACAATTTAAAATTCCTGTGTATCATCTGTACATGTGGGTTTTCACAATAAAGCTGACTTTGAATTTGACTTGAGTCAAGCTCTGCACAGTCAACCATGCTACAGAAGCTAATCTTTCCCGCTTGTATCCAGGATATAATTTTTTTTTCTGTCATGATCCATATGTAATGACCATTGTCTTACACAGTTTTTGATCAGCTCTTAAAGAGACTTTGGTGAGAATTAAGTTTTATGCCATATGCTTGTGACCTTTTATGCTTTTTAGGCAGTATTTTACATACTGCCTAAAAGGTATTAACATTGAAATTTAAATTTAGCTCAGCTGTTTCACCAAATTTTGGATCCCTGCACCATTCAACAGAAATTCAAGAAACATCTTAAATATGTTGCAATACAAGTATCAAGAATTTAGAGTAATTTATGTCAAGTTGCAGTTCAGAAAGCAAATATGAACCTAAAGTGCTCCATTATTTCATGCATCTGCTTCACATCATGCCAAATAATTCTTTAAAAAAAATATTAAAACTATTTATATCATAATTACGTGAAATATGACTCTTTTGTATTTTCTAGTGTCTTCTTTACCCTTTGAAAATATAATCTACTGATTTCTATTATTTAGTCAGGAGAACAAATGTTTGCACACACACACACACACACACACACACACACACACACACACACACACACACACACACACACACACACACACACACACACACACACACACCTTTATTTTGACCAGATAGGTAGGTAGCAGCAGGTAAAAAAACCTTTCAACACAAAAGGACATTTCATTAACCATTCAGATAAATTACATGCATTACACAGAAGACAGATGAAATAACAAAATACACTTCAGTAAAGCCATTTACCATAGCTAAGCTAAATACTTGTTTAAACTACCATTTAACCCAGTTTAAGTTAGTTTACATTCATTGGTTTCTTAATCACGGAGCTTAGTAATTTCAAAGAAATGAAGATGAAATAAACTGTGGTTCTTAAATACACAAAATGTCTACTTTGCATTTTACACTTTTTGTAAACAATTACATTTTACAGTATACATTTTAGAGTTTGCAAACAGTTTAATAGAGACTTTAACCAAGGATTTTCTTTTACAAAGAATTATTTTCCTTAAATCAAACCAAACATATCTACACTAGTTTTACGATCCACCCAAGGATTTGGGGTAACTATTTTTAATATTAATTTAACATAAATATGTGGGAACACTAACTGCACAAACAATTAAACATTCTTTTCTGTCAATATAATTTTTTTTACTTAAATGCAGCAACTATTTCTCCA